TATATATATATATATATATATATATATAAAATATAGATATAGATATTTATTATTGTGAAGCGGTTTGCATTTGTTTACAACAAGTGGTTGATAGGACAATTTTCGGAACTGCACGAAAAATGCCGAAACTCAGTAAATATTCACTTTGAATTTTTATTTAAATTCTACATTAATTTTCAACAATTTCAACTCTCTCGCAAGTATCTTTCACGTCGTTGATAAAATTAGAACAATTAAGCTAAATAAATTAATAAAAAAATAAAAATAATAAGGATAAGTAAGTAATAATAATAAAAAATAAATAAATAAATTTAAACAGCCCGATTTTTTTCTCTCACGAATTTGGTATAAACAGCGTATTTTTTTCGAAAAAAATTGTAATTGGCTCCATGACATTAATACACAACACTAACTAAATAATACACAATATCATAATAATCTACAATATTTTATTGTCAGGTATATTTTCATAAGTTTATATTCTACTGTAAGATTTTATTTCGTTTAATCAACATAAATCCTTCGTATTTTTTTTTTCCAATTTAAAAGAAAAATTAAATAAAGAAAATTGTCTGAAATAAGATTGTAATTATAAATTGTTCTTTTTCTTAAAAACTAATTTAAACTATCTCTAACTAATCTAAACTAGTTTAAAATCTTGAACTCGTGCGAGCTCTTATAACATAGCAAATGGCAATTTTTATTAATTTATATCATTAATTTATTTTAATTAAGAAAGTTTCATAAATGTCAAACAATACTTAAATGCGTCTATTTTTTTTTAAAAAAAGACACAATTATTATATATTAAATAACTATAAATAATATCTATTATAATGTATACATTATTTAATGAATACATATGTAAATAATATATATATGTATAATAATAACAACAATAATATCGGCTTCATTCTTTAAGTTAATGTTAATTTTATTAAAAAAGAAATATTTTTTTTTTCAAATCATAATTTTTTTTTTTAAATATTAATTTAATTTTTAACTATTTTCTTACTCAGATTATTTTATGAATAATTTTACTTTCATTAATAATCAACATTTATTATACATTAAATAACTATAAATAATATCGATTATAATCTATACATTATTTAATTAATACGTGTATAAATAATATATATATGTATAATAATAATAATAAATATACTGGCTTCATTGTTTTAAAGATAATGTTAATTTTACTAATAAATAAATAATTTGTGTTTTCATATCATATTTTTTTTTTTAAATTTCTATTTAATTATTTTTCTAACTCAGATTATTTTATGAACAATTTTACTTTCATTAATAATAATTATTATAAAAATTTTAAAAATAAATTCTAAATCTGAATAATAAAGGTGAAAATTAAGTTTTAAATTTACAATTAATTTTATCTCACTTTCTCCCTAGCAGTTTTCTTACACAGATAATTCTTGTAAACAAAACGAAAAAGTAAATTATTAAAAGGAAAAGAAATTCCTTTTGCATAAAAATCCGGCAGCGATCGTATTAACGAAATTTTTGTTTTTGAATTTCTTTTTAAAGGAAAAAGTTATTTTTTATAACTGGTACCGGATACACCCCACCTGAAAAACCACACGTAATTAATCGAAGCGTGTAACGCTTTTCTGCAACGTGACTTCATTTGATGCATCATGGTCGCTGTTCTTTTTACTTTTCGTCCAAGTCACGTTGCAAACAGCATGCCAGAAATGATGAATGTACAGAGACCTTTCCAAAATGCATTCTAAATATCGATTTCCCTTCAAATACATTTCAAACAATATTTAGTTATAAAACTAAAGTTGTGTATAATTATTTATTAATTTTACGAACGAAAACCCTTTTTCATTGTTCTACAAATTTCATTGAAATTTCAATTTTAGTTAAAACTAGCTTATTCCGTAGAAGTTCCGTAGTTTCTAGATATTTCAACCTCGCCTGTGATTGGTCTATATCTTTCTATTGCTTTGTCGCATGGATGTTTAGTTTAATAACGAAACTGAAGTGTGAATACCATTTGATCTTTTTAATTAAATTGTTTTATTGCACAGTTGTTCGTAAAATAATGCATCTTTCCCAATATAATATGATTACTTAATAATGAGTAACCTCAAGCAAAAAAATGTAATTCATTGGTTTCGTAAAGGTCTACGATTACATGATCAACCAGCGCTGAAGGAAGGATTACAAGGCGCCAGTACTTGGCGTTGTGTATTTATACTAGATCCATGGTTTGCTGGTTCGTCAAACGTTGGAATTAATAAATGGAGGTAATATTTTTAACTTTCAAACATATTCTTTTGATATTGCGTGCACCGCAGATACTACTAGAAGGGACTTGTTGCACGACACCTGTTGTTCAACAAATTTGTAATGATCATATGTACTATGTATTTTTAGTCTGTGTAATGTGATTTTTGATAGAAATATTGTGTGTAAAATTATTAGTTAATGTACAGGAAATATAATGCCTAGTTATGATTTAAAAAAATTCTCCACTGATAAACTTGGATTTCATTTTAAAAGACAATCCTGTCTAATTCTACTTCTTAAGTTGTTTATTCATGTTTATTGATATTTATGTATTCTTATCAGTTAATATTCAGGAGGATAATGAGGGAATTAAGCTCTATAGAGATTAAAGTAAACATTGCTTATAAATTACTGTTATTTTGGCTTATAATTCTACAATCTGACAGGTTTTGACATTTGTTAAAGGAAGTGTTTAATTGATATTTGTTTGCATCTGTTTTTCTAAAATTTTCATAAGATATTGTGCATTTTTTTAAAAATCGATATATATGCAACAAGTGTTTTGTTCAGAGGACTTAATATTTATAACATTAAATTTTTTTATAATATTGTCGCAATATATTTAAAATATGTATCTATTCACCTTTTAAAAGAGTGCGAGAAAAGTTCAGAGGATATTTCTGAATCGTGATCTGTTATGCCAACTACAATTGTCAATGTACCAAATAGATTTTAAACTTTCTAACTTAAAAAAAAAGCAAACAAGGAAAACATGGAGATGTTTGCCTTAAAGGTGGCTACGAGTTATTCCCTATGAGTTGGTCCTTTCTGTAATGTTTTTTTTAATATAGTTTTTCGTGGGCGGCTGCTCGAGAGTACCTTATACTTGCGAATTATTCTGACGCAGATCTTCCTAAAGTTCAACTTCTGAGATATATAAATACTACTTTTAAGTTCCAACTTTTTTTATGCATATCCTCTTCTTGAAAAATTTTTTTTAATGGTTTTTGCTTTTGTCAGCTTTTATTGATATTGCTACTATATAATTTAAGTCACTTTTTGAACATTACGATTTCTTTATTCATATATTTTATTTGTAAGAAAAAAAGATTTTCTCCTTCATAATGAAATTCATATGTTTACTGAGGAGATATTACCTAATGTATATCTATACCTGTTCATTTCAACTACAATCGCTAAAATTTTTTCCTAATTTTCGAAATTGAAAAAAAAATTATGGTTTGCTCCAGACCGGCTACGAGTTGTATTTTTCAAGTTTGTCCCTGTTTGTGATGTTTTGTTGAGTTTCTCATTGCCACTCTCTAGTTGTTGCCAAATTTTAGTGTATTTACCATGCAGCTTATAACACATGATTAAATTCTAAAAGTTAAAGTTATATAGGCTAAGAGAAAATTTAATTTTCTACGTGAACTAATCAAATTCTGCATTGATGTAACTAAGTAGAGGCCAGGGTGGGCCTGACCTACTCTAGAAATTTGATTTACCTTCTTAGAAATATTCCTTTTCATTCATTTCAGTTTTAAGTAATTAATAGGGGAAAATCATTGCATGAATATTACTGTGTATATCTGTCTCAGGGTTGGGTTTTTGACGTCAAAAAGTGGTTTTTGACATGACAAGGGTATAATACTGGTTTAAACCGTCAAAAACCCGTCAAAAATGTCAAAAACTGAAGTTTGCCAAGAAAATATATAAACTTCAAAACTACCAACAGTTGCCATGCATTATATTGAAATTTAATTATACTATAAATAATCAGCAGGTTTTTAAATATTTTTTAATTAAAATTAAGGTAAAATAACAGATTTAAAATCTCAGAAATTTATATTCAAATGCATGTGCAGAAAAATTTTGCACAAAAATTGTTTAAATATTTATATTTAAAAAAAAAATTTTTTTTTTGATACTTAAGAAAATTAAAAGTTTATTACTATGCATTTTTGACATATAAGGAACATATAACTAATATTTATAAGGAACTTACAAGTTATGTTGTATAAATACAAACTTGATACAAGTGTATGAAAAAAAATTTTAATGTTATACCGAATATCTTTATTATCCAGTATGTTAATTTGAATTTAAAAGTAGTTATATTTGTGAATAATGATAAATATAATTCATATTGTTTATTATATTTATTTATAATTATTACACTTATCATTTTAAAACAATTTTTATCTCTTAATTTTTTTTTCTCCACTTGTATTAAGAATACAAATAATGCATATCTTGAAAGCAAGAAGTAATTATTCAACAGCTGAATATTTAGATATTCAACAAAACTATATAGTATTCAGCAAAATGAAATTCACAAGTATTTGGATAAACTAAATTTTCAGCATAGTAAATGAATAGGCTGAATATACTGTAAATCGACACTAACTACTCTGTGTATTTAACAGAAAGCACTTAAATTTGTATTGTCTTATGTTAAAAAGATTATTAAGAAGATTTAAAAGAATATTAAAAAGATTTTTCTTTAAAAGAAGATGTCTAATGTACAAAACTGCTAATGTTTATCTTTAAAAATGTCTAATTTTTAGTATAATCTATACTATACACTAAATTTGGTTATAAATAAATTTCTTAATAATATCACTGCAGATTTTCAATAACACATGAAAATGAATACATAATATTACAAAAGATGTGAGTTTTCAAAAGTACAAGATTTTGGTTACTATTCAAAATATAAGTGTTTCTTCAAAATTTTAAATTTATTTTTTCTAGAACATATTTAGAAACACTATCCTTTATAAAAAATATATAAATTTTATGTATTAATTAAATTTCACATATGAATATAGGTTTTTGACATTTTCGACATTTTTGACAGTGAGGTTTTTGACGTGACGGTTTAAACCATGGTTTAAACTGTCAAAAACTGTCACATGTCAAAAACCTGCCAACCCTGATCTGTCTGTAAGTCAACTTTTGAAACATCCAAAATTTTAAGAAAATCAGGGGTTGACTTATACACCAGTAGTAAAGTCAACATTCGTTGATCGTGAAATATAAATTACTTAGCAATGAGGTATCAATTTACCCCTTTCAAAAATTATTATAATATGTTATATTCAATTAAATTTGCATTTTTTTTTCGACATATTTTCTTTATATATAAATGTATTTTCTTTGGAAACACTTTAAATGTCATTAAAAAAATTGAGAAAAGTTAAGAAAATTATTCTAGAGTATTTCAAAATATAAATTACATGATGAAAGCTTTTAAAACCACAAGGATACAAATTTAAAGATTCCAGAACAATCTTTACGTCAGATTCAATAACATCATGCATCTTTATTTGAGAGAAAATGTATCATGTCGAGAGAGTTAAGCTTGTTAAGCTTTTTGAATCACGAAAAAATTTATCAAAGCATTCAGATGCCTTTGAGAGGATGGAAAGATTTTCATATCAGTACCTGCACCAAAATAATAGCCAAATTTTGGTTTCTTCTGGCTGGTCAAAAGCCTGCTAGAAATTAGGAAGTAGAAATAAAAAATAAATAAACGTCACAGGGGACAAACTTAAAGAGTAGAACTCATAAAGATTCTAGACAAGCCATACAGATTTTTTTAAAATTTTTGCAAGTTTAAAATCTTCTTATTTCCTTGGTGATTGTAGTTGGCGCTAACAGGCATGTGTACGCAAATATCAAATATCCCCCAGAGAATCTCTGTATCAGTAACTGTGCCAAAATAGCTGTTATGTATTGGCGAATAGTGACAGTGACATCTTTAATTTTTTGTTAGTAATGCTTCTTCTTAATGTCATTTAGAGGTGAAGACTTCAGCTTTAAAATCTACACCTGTTAAGGCATTTGCCATATTCAAATTATGTGTGTTAGAACTTTCTCAAAGCTATTATAGCAAGTTTATATTCTAATCCACAATAAAATTACTCATACTAAGCTTTTGCTATCACTTTGAATTATAGTCGTTTGTATGCATCATGATTTGTTTCATTTTACATATAGAAAAACAAACAAAAATTGAAATATTTTTTTTGCAATTGTCAGTAAGTGTAGCTATAAAAATTTTCTGAAAAATATTAGTAGCCATTTTGTTAAATTTTAAGAAAGAAAATTAAATCATTTTAGAAATTTCTTTTTTAAACTTTTTCATTATAAAAACTAAAAAGTGACGATTCCCGTATTATTTATAAATCATTCTACTCAATTAGTCTCAATTCTACTCAGTCCAATTGCAAAACTTACTGACTGCTTTATTAGAGGTAGAAGAAACATTAAAGATATCATCATATCAAGTTTTTTCTTAACTTTAAAATTAATATCCTTTGTAATACTATTTGTCATCACATCTCCCCTTGTCAAAAACGCAGTTATCAGGTTTTGCATTTGATTTATCTAATTTGAAAAACAAATTAAAAAACTTTGACTAGAAATTCATGATATATTTCTGTTACAGGTTTCTTTTACAATGTCTAGAGAATTTAGACAACAATCTCAGGAAATTAAATTCCCGTCTTTTTGTGATAAGAGGTCAACCAGCTGATGTTTTTCCTCGTCTCTTTAAAGTAATTATACAGTTTTCGTTGCTATGCAAAGAAGTTTCATGCTATTTTATTATTCTTAAGTTTTCAATTCTGCCTTTATTTTTTTATTTTTTACCATTATGAATAAAAACTTTAAACAACATTAGTGGATTCTGAAATTTTCTTTACTGATAAGATTTTTTTAAAAGTATTTATGCTGCTTAATTTAAAACATAATTAAATATTGAATAAAAATACAGTTTTAATGTAAAAGAAAAAGTATGCGATAAATAACTTTTTTTTTGTTATTAAATTTCTACTTTTTCTCAAAACTCTTAGTACTTTTAAAAACTGGTTATTTCATTTTTTTTTCCAAAATTTTTAATTCATAACATAATTAAATATTGAATTAAAACATAATTAAATATTGAATAAAAATACAGTTTTAATGTAATAGAAAAAGTATGCGATAAATAACTTTTTTTTTTGTTATTAAATTTCTACTTTTTCTCAAAACTCTTAGTACTTTTAAAAACTGGTTATTTCATTTTTTTTTCCAAAATTTTTAATTCGAACCAACTGAACCCTTTGAATTTTTTACCAATGGTGTTATGAGTGTCCGCAAGGGTTGTCAGGAAAGTGCACTTGCAATCCCTTAGAAATTCAATACATAAAAAAGTAAATTTTTGCTGTTACATTATTTATTGTTTTCTATCATTATTAAGTACTAGCAAATGACGCTTGTTACATCGCATATCATACTTAAATATTTTTTAATAGAATCTACTTACATTTTTTTTAAATAAAATCTACTTGCATTTTTTAGATTTTTATAAATCTACTACTATTTTAAACTGAAAAATATTGTGGAGAGAAATAATTGATTGAAAATTTAATTATAGAGCAATGGAACTCGTTGATTTTCTTTTGTGTTCATACCATATTTAAGCATGTTACTTATTCATTTTTTTTTTATATTTCAAAATTTAAATGTTAAAAATGTAAATTTTTTCTTCCCAATTAATAGTTTACTAGTTTCTCTCTATATTAAAAAATTCTAAGGGCCACACCTCTGTTTTGGGTGTTCAACTTAATGTTACATTTTGTTCCTTTGTGTGAAAACTATAAGACTTCGAAACTTGAAATTACCAAGGTATTCTGAAAAATGCACACATTAGTTTGAAAATTATTAACTGTTAAACTCTTAAAAAAGAAACACCATTCAGGCAGCTATATAGGCTACTGCAAAGTTGAAATTTGACATTCTGAAAAGGCCCAGGTTGTTTTTGAACTTTAAATGAGCTATTTTTTTTAAAAATTATAATTTGTATGATAGTTATTGCAATTTTACAACTTTAAGTTAAAACTGATCTGATTGTTTTCCTTTTAATTTCTAGTAATCTGTATTTTTAAATTATTTTTATCTTAATGTAGAGAGTTAGAATCAAGCTTTATGTTTGCTAATTTTTGCAACAAAATATGTATTTTAATTGATAGCTTTGTAAATTTGTATCTTTGTTTTGTTTTATTTAATTTTTTAATGCTATTTTTGACAGCTAAATGAATTTTTTTAAAAAAATAAACAACTTTCATTTATTTAAATAAAAAATTTAACGATGCAATGTCTCTTGTTTCTATTCATCTAAAAAAAAAATTTACCGTTGTAAATTTTTGGCTTTTTAGTTTCGTTTTACTTAATTGTATCCTTATTTTATGCTTTTAAATCTTTTTGACAACTTTGCTGCAGTTTTAACTATGATTAAACTATTGTAAGGAATATTTCCACTAATGAATTAATAAATCCATGTAATGTTTATGTTTTGGGTCGCTGAATTACTATAGTTAGAAAATTGTCCTTTCTTCCATAAATTTTAATATTAAATTGTCTTAGTTTCAAAACGTTATAACTATTTTAAATTAATAAATCTTCATTATTTCAGTTATGGAAAACCACTCACCTAACATTCGAAAAAGATCCAGAGCCATATGGCCGCATTCGAGATCTCAACATCACCACCATGGCACAAGAAAATGGTGTTAATGTCATAACACGCACATCTCATACTTTGTACGACTTAGAAAAGTATGTTAATAAGATATTTTTACTTAAGATTATATTATTCACATAATTTTTATTTCAACTAACATGATATCTGTCAAAGGATAGGGTATAATTTGTGCTACGTAGACTAAAGCCATTAACGTGAATAAAGAACAAATGAAAATACATAAATGGACATACTATGGTTTCAGTTCTATAAACAAAAACTTTCCTCAGTCCCTAAACACTAAATGATGGTTAAGAAAATAAATAGATAAACTTCTTAACATGTGTTTGTCTCTTTACTTTCTCTACTATCACTTATGTGAACACAAACATTTGCAAACTAGTTTATATCTTTACTTTCTCAAGCATCATTTTCTGTCCAGACACTGAAAAAGGTTCTTGTTATAGAACTGAAACTATAATATGTTCATTTATGTACTTTCATTTGTGCTTTATTCATGTTTTTCACTTTAGTCTGTACCCTGTACCTGTTTAACCCGTTCAGGATCATTATCATATATTTCTGATTATGCAATTCTCTTTTTTATGGCCCACTGTATCATTCATGAGGTGAGCCTTTCTGTTTTTTGTGGCCCATACTAACAAAGACTTGATTTCAATTTGGTAGTCTCATATTTATTTCGCTAATCATGTATTATTTGGTATGCATGCATACTCTTAGTACCTATATTCTAGTAGTTGACTGTCAAAGGGAAGCATTTCATCCTTTCACTGGTCCTGAATGAGTTAATTTATTATGAGTCTCACAATAAAAACAATTTATAATTTTGTTTTATTGTTTTGTATTCTTTATAAAGACTTTGAAGTTTTTATTTTAGAATTATATTAGGATATTCATATTTTGTATGCTGCAGGTATGTACAAATTTAGTTATAGTATCGAACTGTTGTAAATCTTCAACCTGTTTTAAATATTTCATTTATCTCTAGAATCATAGAAAAAAATGGCGGTAAATCTCCGTTGACATATAAACAGTTCCAAAATATTTTGGCAAATATGGAGCAGCCACCTTTACCATTGCCTCGAATAACATTTGAAGACTTAAGTAATTGCTACACCCCCTTGTCTGAAGATCATGAGGAAAAATATGGTGTTCCTACTCTAGAAGAATTAGGTGTGTATTTTGTTGAATTAAATGGTCATGTATTACTCTAAATTTTTTTCTGGGTTCCTTTTATGGTACAAACTAGATTTGATGTAAATTATTACAAAAAATTATGTTTGTTATGTTGTGTAAAAATTAAGTTTTTGCTTTTATTTTGATTAAATTCTTTTGACTTAAAAATTTATTATTCAATTACATGCTTATTGAGGTTAATAAAAAAAAACTGACAAAAGTTAAATTATTGAAATAAATTAAAATAACATGCTTATTAAGACAAAATGTACTGTTTCTTCTAGAGAGTTATATTTGTTGTAGATTTAAAACAGAAATTTAAAAATAAATTTTTTTTTTTTAAATTTATTAGCAATTTTATTTTTATTATTAATAAATGCAGTTTAAAAAATATTATTTTACAAAATAGTTTTGCATCTTGCAGTCATTGCAGATTGATATATATATTATAATGTTGTATTATAATGTATGTTTCTTGTAGGTTTTGATACTGAAAATTTAAAACCTCCTGTTTGGTTGGGTGGAGAAACAGAAGCATTAACTCGTTTAGAAAGGCACCTGGAAAGAAAAGTAAGATTATGATTGATTGTGAATTTTTTCTAATGTAAACTGAATATATTTTGAATGTATATTTTGACAAAGAATAAAGTAAGTAAGTGTATAAAGTAAGAAGTATAACACTAAATTAGGCCTTGACAAGAATTTATGCAGATAAATTAAAAAATTTCTGAGCCATAATGTCATGTTTAATCATTGTAATTTAGAACATAAATTTTTTTCTCTTCCCTCTCACTTTATGAGAAATTATTTTTCAAAAAAGTAGAAGCTGAGAGCAATGCTGATGAATGATGCTGATGAATGATACTTTGAAATTTCAGAAAAATGTGTAATACTTAAAAATCTTATTCCGTTTCTTATTTATTATTATTATTATTTTTTCCCCAAATGAAAAGATTTTTCTTTTCTTTGCTTAAGATATCTTTGCTTTTTTTCTTAAGATTTTTTTTTTGATCTTAAAAGTTTTTAAACTTTATTTTCACGTTGTATACGTTATTATCATCTTTAAAATTAACATATGCATTTAATGTAGCTGAAACATTTAAGTTTCTTTTGGCTCAATTCTTTATTATGTATTGTTTTTGCAGAATAATTTTTTAAAAGTTTGTTTCTTTTTCTCAGCAGAGTTAATTGAAAATTTTAACTATAGTATACTCCTGAAAACTTAAATTATCTGTTAAAAAAATTGAGTGCAATCTAACAATAAATCTATATAGTCACTTAATCTATATCTATATAGTTACATGTTTATTTTTTGCTGCTATTTGTTAAGGCTTGGGTTGCAAGTTTTGGGAGACCGAAAATGACCCCACAATCACTATTACCAAGTCAAACAGGCCTGAGTCCTTATTTGAGGTTTGGATGTCTCTCTGCTAGACTTTTCTATCTTGAACTTGCAGAACTTTATCGTAAGGTAAGTGTATTTGTGTGTTGAGTATTTGTTTTAGTTAAATATTTAATTGTGGTTATGAACTGATTTGATAAGTCTAAATTAGTGTGTAAATATTTTATTATCATTAAGAATTAGTTTTTCTTTCTTAAATTGTGGCATATTAAAGTTATAGGGAGTACCTAAATTAAAATAATAACTTGCTTGTCTACCCAATGATATAGTTTTGATTTAAAAAAATATTACTATCACTTCATTTTGATGTGCCTCACAAATTTTGAGTAAGTATATAAAGCAGTTCAATGTGTTATTTATTAATTCATTAATTGATTTACATAAACTTATAATAATTTGTATCATGATGTGCATTTCAAAGTTTCTCATTTTTTGGGTGTAGTTTTCACATTTTAATTTTACTGTTATTTAAAAATAAATGTGTTTTTAACATTTTTATTTTATGTACTTAAGGGGAAATATATATAGATATATACAAAAGCTTTAAGAAAAGTAAAAGTTATCAGCAACCTATAAGATGTAAATGGAAGCTAAATTCATTGTTTTGAAAGTTTATATGCCACCTATTTGTTAATGTGTTTAAAATTTATCTATTTATTAATAGAAATTATTATTGGAACTAAAATGACAATTAGACAGTGCTATTCAGTTGTTATTGAAGTGAATTTATGAGAGTCATTATTTAATCTATACATCTTTTACTTATTATTCTTTTATTTATTTATTTAATAGATCAAAAAAGTAAATCCTCCTCTTTCTTTGCATGGGCAAATTTTATGGCGAGAGTTCTTTTACTGTGCTGCCACCAACAATCCAAAATTTGATCATATGGTTGGAAATCCGATGTGTGTTCAAATTCCATGGGATGTCAACTCCGATGCACTAGCTAAGTGGACAAGCGTAAGAATTTATTTTGTAAATTATGGTTTAGTGCTAATATGTAGTTGTGTATTATTAAAATATAAATAATTTTTGCAGGGACAAACAGGGTTTCCTTGGATTGATGCAATCATGACTCAGCTGCGAGAAGAAGGTTGGATTCATCATGTAGCTAGACATGCGGTTGCATGTTTTTTAACAAGAGGAGATTTGTGGATATCATGGGAAGAGGGCATGAAGGTCATTATTTTTTTAATTTACATCCTTTTCGTAATTGTGTTTTTAGCATTTACATTTTACTATTTTTTGTTTATTGATATTTTTGAAATTTTATTATTGAGAAGCTTCTTCCTGTAATCCAATAACAAAATATGATAACAAAACAGATTGCGAAACCAACTGGTTAGTTTTTTTTAAATAAAATGTTAAAAAAGCAAGAGTTTCAGAAAATTTAGATACATATAGTATATGTGAAGAAAAAAAAGAACAGTTAAGGAATACTTAATTAATGAACAAAATAAAAAAATTAAACACCCTGAATAACTTTTGATCTAATGATTGGATTTTCACATACTAGGATCCAATTTTATGGTTCAGAAAAGTGACCTCAACTATGCTAATTAATTAGTTCAAACGTTATTTTACGTTCCAAAATCAGACAAAAAAGTTCTTTCTCTGAATAAAAGTAGCATTTTTTGTTGGGTTATGATGTCTGATCCACAAAATATTTACAATCTAGGAAATATGGTCTCAATAGTTTGGTTAAACGGAGTCGGTAGGGCACATACCAATTATGCTAAAACTGATCTTTTTCAGTGTACCTTTTCTTAACATCTAAACAAGATATCGCTTCAATTTTTTTCGCAGAATATTTACATATACATGTTTAAACTGTGATAACTGTTTATATATATCTTTGGCGAAATTTTTTTATTTTTTATTATGAACTGAAAACTTTTAATTTTGTAAAAAGTTATATCAAAAATCTTTCATAATTCAAAAAGTATTCCTGTTAACGTAAAAAAATTATCCCAGTATACAACTGATACAATCTCAAATTTTCCCAAAAAACTTCACAGCGATATCACAAGCAGTTTCTTAGAAAAGGTACATAAAAAAGGTCAGTTTTAGCATTATTAATATCGACTCCCTAAGAGAGTAGTCAAAAGTTTGATCCCTGTAGTGTTAATTTTACTTTTTTCTTATTTCACCATATTTTGATAATTTTTTAATTAAATTTTTAAAAAAAATTGCAATCAATTATAAAATTCGCTTATCCAAAGATAATTACATGCGGAAAATAATTCGTAATAATTAATTATCTTTTTTTTATTTAATATTAGGTGGAAAAATTTTTTTATTCTAAATTATGCAAATTTTTACATCATTTTAAAAAATGTAATTTTGTATTGCAAAATTGAAGGTGAATAGTTACCAAGAAATCAATTTTAAAAATGTTATAAATCTAAATAATTATTAAAGGATATTGTAATTTTTTGGCTTTTTTAGTTTTTCTGGTTTGTGCCTTTCTGTTTTGTGCATGATTGCTAATGTTGAATCATTGATTATTTACTGTACACATGCTAGTATATCATAAATCTAAATACCTAAAAATTGTGTTAATACTTGAAGGTATTTGATGAGTTGCTGCTGGATGCTGATTGGAGTGTCAATGCAGGCTCTTGGATGTGGCTTTCTTGCAGTTCATTTTTTCAGCAATTCTTTCATCTATATTGTCCTATTAGGTTTGGCAGAAAAGCTGACCCTAATGGAGATTACATAAGGTAGGTTTTTTTTATTATCTGATTCTCTAATGAACAATTAAACTGAATTTTATCCTGAAATATTTTTCATTTAGTAAGACTTGAAATAAACTTGAAATTAGAAAGGTGTAGAAAAAAATGTACATGGAGTACAATGGAAAAAAAATTTAGAATTCGACAACTAGCTTAAGAATTATTAGCGCTTAAACTTGCATGAAAAAATGAGGCAGGCGGATTTTGTTTAAAAGTTATTATGCTTTTTAGTTGTTGTTTTTTTGCACATTTTTTTCACTTGTTTGTTTTACGTTGCATTTTACTTTGCTATGCAAAATCTATATTACTTAAAACTACGAAGATGTAGAGTAATGTACAAAAATTCGATAATTTAAGATTTGATAATTATCTCAATAATTTTATCAACTGTTAAATTTTAAGTAAAAAAAAGAAGTATGTTGGATTTGTTTACACAGTTGAAATTTGATGTGTTGAAAGGGCCGTTTTCAGTTATTAACTTGACACAAATTAATTTAAATTTGTTCAAAAGCAATTATAGTTTTTTCGGGAGTATTTATATATTGTTGTCAATTTATCTCACAATAAAACACAATTTATCTCTCTCGAGATCATCATTTTATCAACTCGCATTTGACTCTTGATGTCAAATGTAAAAACAACCGAAGAATAATGTAAAAATGAAATGAATAAGATTTAGTTAGCAAATGTTGTTAGATATAAATCATCACATTATCTTACCTTGAGAGCAGAGGTTATAAAAAGGAAAAAGAATCGTGCTACTACTAGACTCAATCTTTCTTGTTTCTTCTTAGTAAATATGTAATAAGATCAGCTAAAAAGATAATAATGTAATAAGATCAGCTTCTGTAATAACCAATAAGGATAGTTTAAAACCAAAAGAACATTAGAGAATTAACACAGAACAACAAACTTACACAGATGCCATGAATTCAACTACAAAAGCACACCAATATAGCAGCCTTTTTTTTCCTAGTAGAGTGATTGTTTACTAAAATGTAGAAATTTTGCTAAAATCGGCATATCCAGTCTCATCCCACTTTCAATTATTAATAAAATTTAATAGCTTAAATTTGTTATTTAATTATTTTATTATTAATAATTTTGCAATTATTTTATTATCAATATTTAATTTTTCTAATCAGTATGTCTTATATCTAGTCCCTAGAAATGTGGGACCACATATTTAAAAAAAATCTATAATTCAAAAGTAAACAACTGGTTTAATATAGATACTTATATTTTATTTTCAAGTTCTAATAAAGTAGTTTTCTGGTGTGAGGTCGCTAAAAGCTATAAAACTATTATTGAGGGCCCTCTCGAGAAAATTTTCTAGAGTTTGATAATTGAAACGACTAAAAATTTTTGCTTTTAATTTCAATATTAAAAGTACAACACTTTTTTTGTGTTTGATTTACAATAGTTTCTTTTCTGTTCTTTGAGGCTAGAAGATTCTAGAATTGTGGATTCCCTGGTCAAATGTCTTACCACAAGACAGTTCTGAACATGTTGTCTATATCCCCATAGAAATTAAAATGTGCTTGTGCAAGGGGAGAAGCTGAATACTTTCTTCTACTTCTTAGGAAAAATTAATAGCATGCAAATTTTTCTCAGAAAGTATAGAAGAGCTATTGGTTATTCAATCAAAGGAATAACTGTTTTATTTTTATTTTACTGGTTTATGGGGATTTTTTATTTCAAATTATACTTGAGTGACAGATGCATTGTGCTTCATTTCAGGACATAATTGTTTTTAAATTTATTTAGTTTTTATTTATTTATTACCAATTTCTTAAACTCGTTTTTTGCAAATTATGTTTTTCTAGGTTTCAATGTTCCCCATTTATTCACGATACTAATAACTTAATGCTGAACTTATGCTTTATTTCTTGTATTAATTTTTTTCCTTTTGTGTGTATTAGGAGGTATTTGCCTGTTTTAAAAAATTTCCCTACAAAATTTATTCATGAACCATGGATTGCTCCAGAAAAAGTTCAACATGCTGCCAAATGTGTTATTGGCAAAGATTATCCTATGCCAATTGTCAATCATCAGGATGTTAGTCATATTAATTTAGAACGGATGAAGCAAGTTTATCAGCAGCTGAGCCATTACCGGGGTGCTAGTAAGTGGTGTTATATTCTCTCTCTCTCTCTCCTTTTTAACTACAAAGAAGTTTTTATTCTTAGAACTAAAAAATAATTATTTATATTTTTAAATGTAGTATTTTTTTGTAATGTAAAATGTACACATTTTAAACAAAAATATACTTTCTAGTTTTCATTTATAAAGCAAAACTATATCTGTAAAAATATTAATGTTGCAAATAATTCAACAATTTTAAAAGTGTTTTAACTTATAAATTTCCTTGAATAGTTTTAAACCTTGTTTGTTGATAAATAAAACTAAATTGGGATTAAAATTGATTTTCTAAATTAAGAACGAAGTTATAGGTTTATAGTATGAAAGACTTAATTAAAAAAATTAACCGAATGCAATATTGTTATTTGTAATATAAATGCAGTTAAAATTACCTGTCAAAAAAAAGTTTCTTTTTAATAGGTAATAGTCAATTTTGATTTAGGGATTTTTTGTTGTTTTATTTTGTCATCTTCAGATTATGTTCCCTTCATTTGTAACCGTTCATTTGTAATCAGGTGTATTGGTACATAAATATATATGTATATCTAACAATCTGTAATGAATGAATGAAGAATATAATATATATATAAGAGATGTCAATGAAGAATATAATGAAAATCTTGCACAATAAAATCTTGCAATAAAGTTCACAGGAAGTTAAAAATTTGCAAGTTTTTCTTTATAAGACGAATTTATGTACATTTCAAAGATTGTCGAAAGTATTTTTTTCTTATTTTGAACAATAAAATCATTTGCTAGTAAATAATTAAAATTTATAATTAGTTTAAAGCAATTGATTGTTTGTGTAGGAGTTCAAAATTCAGTTCGATTAAATTATTAAATAAAAACAAAATGCTTCTCTAAAATCAAACAAAGCCCTTGGAAATTAGCAAATATTTTTTTCAAACTATTTATGCATTCCCAGCGACATTTGCACGTCACTATTTATACTTATATGTGGGTAAGAACACACTAACCCAGCTTCAATACAATTCTATGCAACCGTTGATAAAAATTTGCTTGTTCTTGCGTAGTTTTTATAGTCATATCATGCAAGTAAAAGTTGTCAGTGTAAGTAAATATGCTGATTAATTAAAGTCTGTCCTAGTCAAAGCTGTGCACATCTCTGTTTCCGTAAAACTGTTGGTCTTGGGTGACATTGCTGACTCTGAATGTGGTTCAGGAATAACATAACATTTTAATGTGGGTGAGAATGTCAATGCTTATTCCTGCTTAATTCTTTTTCTAGTGACGGTTTGTGGTGCCCTGGCATAACCCTCAGTTATAGAGCAAAACTGGCCACATAGCAGTTGTAGCATTTTGATCAACGGCCACTTTTTCGAAATTTTAAACAATTTAAAAAATGATTGATATTAATCATTTTTTAAGGCATTTATTTTAAAGCATTTCTCAAAGCATTTATTTTAATAAGGCATTTATTTTAAAGCATAAAGCATCGCGAGGCATATATTTTAAAGCATTTCTCAAAATGTGATAAACATTACAAGATTACATTCTAAGATAAAGAAAGGTTTTAAGAAGCAAACATAAAATAAATAGGGTGCATATCGTTTTTAAAAAGAGCTTAAAGGTGCTTTTTTTCGTTTTTTTAAAAGCCCTTAAAGGTGTTCTTAAAAAGTGCTTGATATTCCCTCTTTCAAAATGAGATTTTTTCTTTATCGTGTTGATTTTCGCTTCGAATTATGCGAAAAGACACCGTTCACATTGTTTTATTCAGCGTTTTCACAATTCACTCAACCCCAATCTATTTCGGCGTTTTGTCAGTCTGTAGCATATGAAAACGCCATTCGTTTTGCATGATTCCAAATTTCATGGTTTTTGACAGTTGTCAAAAACAATGCCAAAAAGGTTTTTTTTTTGACATGACGGTTAAAACAAGATAAAATCGTCAATTGTTGAAAACTTTCCCACCCTGCCAAATTATGATATTTTTTAAAGTGCTTAAAAATATTTTTTGAGTGCTTGAAAAGTTCTTAAAAGGTGCTTATTTTTTGTTGAATAATTTGGCTACGCACCCTGATAAAGTAATTAACAAAAAAATAAAATGCACATGGATGCATTATTGGCAAAATGAGTGGCAATTGGTAGACAATTTTTTAATCGCTTTTTGTTACATGATTTTATATTGTCAGATATATTCTGAAGTGAACTTGTACTCATTTTATTAAACTTTGAAGGGATAAATAACTGATTAGATCTTTATCAGAATGGAAATTAAACCTGCTATAAGGCATGTTAACTGCAATTTTACAGCAATTATGTTGATGATTTATTAAGTTATAGATATCACTGTATTTTTTAACATAATTAAGATACAGCAGATACAAATGAGCAAGTACTTTGAATTAAAATCATATTTCTTAAAATAAAAGTGTAATAATGAATGTTAGATAATTTAATTTTTGTTTTCATGAAACTTTGTATAAAATCAAGATTAAAATTAATTATGATTAATATTTTTTATTCACTCTTAACTGATCTTACTTACTTAGTTCATTTAATGCATAATTACTTTATATATTTTTTCAGATATGAGTAATCCCCCTCGTCCTATTCAAGATCGAGATGATGAGGGCTATCAAAAAAGTGTTAAACGACGTGCTGTAGAATATTCAGAAAACTCAAGGTGAGATAATATAATTAATTATGCAACAATTCATGCATTTAATACCTATTATCATATTTTCGACTTTTAGTTTGTCTAGTTAATGTAACAAATTTACATTTTAAATATTCAGCCATTTGTGAAATAAAGAATAGCACATTACTTAGTTTTATTATGTTAAAAAATTGAACTAAAAAAAAAACAATAATAAAAATAATTCAAGTATTAACTTTTGAACTGAATACTGCAGTTTAAAATAAAATTATAAGACAAGAATATTAGAATCACTATTCATATTGTAACATGGGAAAAAAAGAAAGAAAAAGTTTTAAACAGTCTTCAAAAAATTACACTTGTACTGCTTATAGCATACTATTACATTTTGTTTGTTTGATTTTTTTAATGCTAAAATAGATTTAATGTAAAACACAATATTAACGGGAAACCTCATAACAAAAATTTCTTATATTAGAGTAGTTCAAAAAAGTCGAAGCATCTTAAATCTTTTGGTCACTATTGTTTTTAACAAATGGTAATTTTTAAGCCTTAGTGCAAACCGATCAAAAAATCATGTACGATTTTTTTTGAATTTTTAATAAAATTTTTACTACTTTTGGCCCATTATAGGGGCAAAATAATTTATTCAGATGTATAGAATTTTGCATACTTCTCAATGATAATAGTTACTATATTTCCCATACTACTGCTGAAAAGTTTCCGACCCTTTTACTATGTCAGCCGACTCCAATATGAATGTCACTAAATTGCATAAGTGAACAGGTAATGATTATTACGAGTTTTATTTAATCTTCATATTACATTATTTATCTTTGCTGAATTATGTTTGTTCAATGGTTAAAAGCTGTTTCACTTGTAGAATGGCAGATGTATCATTATTTTTAACAAATTTAATTGCTTCTTTATTTTTCAGTTTACTTACTGGCATTTAACATTGGGATAATTAAAAATAAGTTAAATACGAAGAGTAGTCTCTTTTTTTTTATAATTTTGTTACTTGTGTTACATGCTTGTGTGAGCCACGATGGCTCAGCTGTTAAGGCGCAGAACTGTTATTGTGAAGAACTGGGGTTCGATCCCCGGTGGCGGCTTGAAGCCCACTCAGCTTCAGATCAAAGGGTACCAGCTTAACTGGGAAGTAAAGGGGTCTGTGCGCAGTGCTGACCACATTGCCACAACCATACAGTTGCTTGTGAAATAATAGAGCCTTAACCTGTATGTCCCGTCTGACCCACAACGGGCTCTTGTAGGAATGTTTTTTTTTTATATGCTAGTGTTTATATTATAAGGATCCAAGGTACCCCTGTATTTTTTTTTCAAGTCAAACTTAGTTCTTAATATTGTTTAATCTTCTTGCAAGATGCTGTTTATGATTTGTGAACTATAGCACATTTAAGCTCTTTTGTCATTGAAACTTAAATTCTATATTTTAATCCATTTTGCGCCACTTTTGAATTTTAATTATTTTGAATAAAAAAGTATTCAAAATTTTCAATTTAAAAAAAAAAAGTATTTTTAATAAAAATAAATTGTATGATATCTCATAAATAATAAATTTTTAACGATGCAAATTTATAGTTAGTCATCGCGAACAACAAAAGAATTGTAAAACTTTTTCCTTCTCTTTTTTCCTTATAAATATCAGAATTTTATGTAGAAAATAAATAAGATTTATGTTTTGCCATACATGCAGTATATTTCAAGCTCACACTTACTGGCTTGGTCCTGTTTAAAAAATAGTGGAAGAACTTATAAATGATGATTGATAAAAAAAAAGTTAACAGAAGAGAAAAAAAGTATGCATTGAAAAGTATTTTTTCGTAGTGAATAACACTAGGAATATATATATTATTAATTAATTAACCAAAGTTTTTCTTAACTTCCATTTGTTTAGTGAAAAATTATTAGATTTAACAAAGAGAAACTTAACTTCTGCAAGTAATGTCCAATACTGTTAAAACTAAAGGTTTCACTTTTTTAGTACTGTTTATTATATTAAAAAGTTTATTAAATAAAAAAGTTTATTAAATAATATAAATAAATTACATTGCCTATTTTATTACATAAAATAGAAAATTATTGAAATTTGCCCTTTTTGCGTCAAATGATGTGATTAGGCCACTTGAAAAGCAGGTTGACGAACATAGGGCCGCATTCTCGAGTAGTTAGACATGTTGTTGGCAGTCATGGTAATTTTTTTTTATAAACATCAGTGTTTCTGGCACTAGAAACTTTTTGTTTGTTAGCTTAGTAATATATTTGCATAAAATTAAATGCTTTTAAAAATTAAAATTCGTCAAAATACCAAGCTGCTACTTATCAAAAAAAAAAAAAAATCCTTTTTATCAAAAAATAGATTTATTGAGAAAAAAAATACAAAGATAAGGAGAAAATAATGGTTTTGAAAGTAATGAATGTTAACTCTTAGACAGTTTTTTAAGTTACAAAAATTAGAAGGAAAGTTAAAAACAATATGTATCCACTTTTTTTCGAATACCGCATATTATTATACAATATTGGTTTTTCTTTGAATACTGCATGTAAATGAGTTGCAACAATAGCCAATAAAACAATTGGATTGACGCTGAAATAAACATAAGCAAAGCAAGTATAAAAGTAATTATTAAAATGTGCAATTCAATGCTCGAGGGTTGTAAAAGATATTAGGATTTTTAAAGCTATATGGATTTGCAATGGAATATGTGCAGTGGAATTTTGCTAGTCAAATTTTCATTTTCTGACGTAGCTAAGTAAAAGGCAATGCATAGTCATAAAGTTCTTTTTTTGCTCTATAATATAAACAAAAACCAGTTCTGAAACGTGCAAAGAGGTTTTCCCTTTCTCAAACATACACAAATCAGAGCTTGCTGTGAAACAGATCTGGTTGAACCCTTTTCCTTGCTTTGAAGATCACCTTACTTATGAGACAAACATGAACATTCAAACGTAAATAGTTTATTTGCTCCATCTCATTCGCGTTGTGCATTCAAGCTTGTTTAAAACGGATAACTTGAATGGGCAATAAATTTCCAACTTTTTTTTATGTTTCAAAGAGAAAAAATAATTAGAATAATTTTTTCTTTATACTCAGGTGATGTGGAGGGTTAGATTTCATTAGCAGGTGGGCTGCAGGTTGTGCACCCTTATTTTTAATGTAAAATATATAATATAATGGACATTTGCGTTAGATTTAATTTTTTTTGACTTATGATGGCTAATTAAAAACCAGATTTCAGAAGAAAAAAATCTTTAAATTTGTTTAAAAAGCAAACTTTTAGTTTTTTGATTAAAGTAGTTCTGATATAAAATAGAAAAACTGTTCGAATTCCTATTCTATAAAATTTGCATGAATATTTTTTTTTTCTCTTCAAAATTAATCGAGGGTGGTAATAGGGACTCCTTTTTTGCAGGTGGAAGGCCATGAAAGAGGCTTAAGCTAAAAGTTGCATCATATTGTTTTGTAAAAATATGGACCTATTTCTGTGATTTCGTTATTATAACACCAGAAAGAAGCTATGTCGAGAAACTCTTCTAGCATTTTGATCAAATCTTTTGTTTGTGTTCTAGACTTTTTACAATGTAATTGATTGACAAATTCAACAGTATTCTTGGATCTGAAGAGTATATGTAGATAGATTATTTAAGTTTAATTATTTTAAACATATTTTTTATTATCTATCAATAGATAAATTGTATATATGTACTCTACTGCTAAAAGGACATACGTCCAAGTGTTTTGTATTGAAAATTGGCCCTTTTGGTGCCAAAGTATATAGTCTTATACTGTAAGATAATGAATGATTTGGAACTGTTATCTTTTCTGTTAAACTATAATTTAAAATCATCGGCAATTATTTTTTTATCATTAATAGTTTTTTTCAGCTGTGAAAATTGTTTATTTTATATTTATTAAATCAGTTTTATTTCAAAACATCAATCATCACGTCTAATATATTTTAAATTTGATTAAGATAAACTAGTAGGCCATGTAGGTTTTATCCTTTAACAGAAGCTCATTAAATTATTTTACGTATTAAATTATTACTTCAGCTAACTGAGATAATCTAAACCTGTTTAAAGAAATTTTGTGTTTACTTCAGTTTTAAACCGACCCTGGGTTTAAGATATATTTACTAGCTTTATTGAGAGATTTTTTTTGTTTGTTTCTTTGTTGTGTAAATAGGATTTAATTTTACAAAAGAAAAAAAAATGGCAACTCAAAAACTTTTAATGGAAAATCCATGGTAGTCTATTGTTAGATTCAAATTTAGTACATGTTCTAAAGATAGAAGCAAGTGTCAAAAGATTTTTGATTTGTAAAGGTAATGGTAACTATAACCAACTGATCATTTTTCCTCCTCTTTGTTGGGGGAGGAAAAATTAGTGTTCATTATAGTCAATAGTGATAAGAACAAACATTTTAATGTTTTAGAATAATTGTATTTTTAACTGCTATATATTAATAGTGATAAGTGGGTAAATAAACAGTTAAAAAATATGTAATTTTAAATCAGTAAAATAATTGATGGTTCTCTATAACTTTTTTTTTCAAATCAAAATTGAACTAAATATTTTCAAATCTATTTTAGTGAAAAATCTTATCAGATGTCTATCATATAGTAGTAATTGCAGACTGTGCTGTAGTTTTAATGTATGTTCAAGGGTGTTATCAGTTATCTAAACATTTAAATTACAAAAAATGAGTTAGGAAAGCTATTTCACATCCTTCTTAACATGCAATAGTTCATTAATCAAGTAATGCTTAATTTCAGAGGGGGTTCTCCACCCCAAAACTACGCTACTAATTGCAGAAATCATTAATTTTAGTGATTAACCTAAAATTCTTAATTGTCACTCTAAGAAATGAATTGTATGAATGTTTGGCTTTGAGACTTCAGTTCAGTGGCTAAAATTCAGTTTAACAAATTTCATTTCTTTTCCTATTTGTTGTCATGGCATGTTTTTCCTCATTCCACACTTTTATATGATAGTATACCAACGTAAATATATATATTTTTTGTATTTTATCTTAAATATTACTTTATATAAAAAAAATTATGCATAATATATTAGTTAAATATATTGTTCACAAAATTTGTTGATTTACTTCTAAAGAATATTTTTCAAAGATTAAGTTTTAGACATGAGTTTACATTGTTTTACTCATCAAATAGGTTTTTGTTACATTTGCTTGTGTATTTAAATAAAATTGCTCATTTAAGTTAACGCATGGGATCTGTAATTGAATTTATAATATATTTAATGAATTCTTTAGATAAAAAACTTGAATACTACGTAAACATGGATATGAATTTGGAGAAGAAAAAATAAAGAATTGCTTTTTCTTTAAATGAAACTTGTATATATTATTTGAAGTATGAGTTTTTCGCTTTGTATTGCACATGATCTCATTTGTTCAAAACAGAAAAGATATACAGTTAAAAAATATCATTGTACATATGTAAATATTGTCTAAAAAATATTTGTTGAAAAAGTGGTGTACTTCTGAATTAATATAAATTTAATTCTGATTTTTTTTTTTAAATTGACATTTTATAGAACTCACCATTTAATAAAATGGTTTTAGCATTTTCAAACATTTCTCGTTTTACAAATGAGAGACATGCTTGACTCATGTATATTAGTGTAAATAGATTTTAAATACAAGGCTGTGTACATTAGTAGCACAATTGTTTTTATTTGTAAACTTGTGTTTACTGTATCTTATGCTTTATGCAAGTGTGCAAAACTTTTAAAGATGCTTCAATTAAAGAGTTTTCAAGGGTAAAGAGGTGTGTTTTACTGAATTTTCTTTTTTTTCTGGAAAATTAAATATTTTTTATACTTTTCCTTTCCTTCTTCTCTTCTACTTTTACCTTTTATTTGCATTAGGGAATGCAATCCAGATATCGGGGATTCCGCACCGACTAATGCACATCACAATTCTGCAGGATTATTAACTCAATCCCACAAGATCGAAATTCAGGAACTAAAACAATTCTTTAATATTTAATTGCTTTATTGATATCTGGATCAAATAATTTTCCACATTTAACAGAGAAGAATGGATAAAAGCAGTTTTTGCAGTATTTGGTTGATGATGTGGGAATAAACTCCCAACAATATTTTTGAATTTTCAAAGCGCAACTAACTCAAATAAATTAATTATTAAAATAATAATAATAAATATTTGGGACTGGATGAAAGAAAAATTAAAAATTTTATCAAAATATTGAGCAACGAGGATGGAAATGAAAGCAAACTCTCTGAAAAAGTAGAGACTGAAAATGATGGACCAAAGATATCATTAAAAAATGAACTAGAAAGTTAGCCATATGAAACTGCATGGTTTCTTCAGTTCCGTCCAAGGAAGCATTATGATGAAATTGACAATATAATCAACAAAGAAATTATCATAATTTTAGAAAATATTTCCCTCAGGAAAAGAAAACATAAAATAATGTTAATGTTTGTCATTGTCGAAACTTTAGAAGCATATGTCAAGACTGGCCTGACAAGAGTTGTGTAAATTAAGAACTTTTGTTTTTCTAGAAAGAAACCTAGATTTAATAAATTTTCTCACCCCTATTTGTCAGAATCGGTTTTTTTATTTCAAGAGACATTCTGTTATCAATAATTTAAAGTAAGTACGTAAAAAGATTAAATATCTCTTTTATAAACTCTTTGTTTTTTCATACTTCTCTCTGTTGTCAGCTAGAACTTATTATTTTAATTCTAAGTTTGAATGGAATGCTTAATTGAGACTTGCCAATCCTGAAATGTCACGAGGCCAAAAACTGCGGAACTGCATTCCTTGATTTGTATACTCTAGAAGGCTCCACTCCTTGTTCGCTATCGCTCAAATCAGATTTTTTTTTTTTTTAAATCTGGTAATCCACTCCTAGAGCCAGGTTTCTCTTTTTTTGCCTCACTGAAATTTTTAACACCAGTGCAGAGTCAAACTTTTCTGTGTTTTCCTTTATATTCAGCAAACTTCTTTTTTTTTACCTGAGCAATAGTGAATGATAACCTACATTCTACATTATATCAAAGAATGGTCTGTGTAGCTTTGTCTGGCTGTCTCAGTACCACTCCCACGGCATCTCCCGTTGAATCGATGCATTGAAGCTGAAGCTCAGACTGGTATTAAACGTCTTATGTACCTTGGCTTAAGAAAGAAATATTCTAAGCATTTGTCATGGGGCCACCTTGTTTCGCAGGTGTTGGATATTCCCTCTTTTATTATGCATAGTGATTATATGTCACTAAGATATGCTTTTCATAAGCCCTTCAAGATCCATTTTCCTTTTAGAGGTGAATGCTTAAAGGCAAATGTCTAGTATGGTACAGCAATGGTTCTAGGTTTGGTCTTAAATCTGGGGCAGGAATTTACTTCTCCAATAATGGTACAAACTCCTCTTTCCTCTAGGTAGTTGTGCCACTGTATTTCAGGTTGAGGTCTATGCTTCTAAATAAACCTATCCATATCTGTTCTGACAGTCAGGCTGCTCTCCTATCGGGTGTAAATTCACTTCTTCAATAGAGTGGGAGTGCTTCTCAGTCCTCTGTGACCTTTCTACTCATAACAAGGTATACATACACCTGAACATATAGGCATTCTTGGAAATGAGTCGGCTGGTGAAGCAGCATGGGCTCGCTCCAGTGCGATTTTCTGGGTGCAGCTTTGAGAATCTCTCCCACATCATTCAGGGCATCTACATTTAAGCTCTATGGCAAAATTGCCCATGAACAATGGCGCAATTCGGATGGTCAGAGACAAGCTAAATCGTGACTGTCCTATTGTGTGTTAAAAAGAGTTTCTTAAGTTAAACAGGGACAGTTTGAGGAGGATCATTGGTCTTCTCACAGGACACTGCACCCTCAGGACACACCTATACATAATGGGTAATGAATATGATTCTCTATGTCGATTATCTTGAGAAGTCTTCACGACATATACTTTGTGATTGTGAGGTCTATTCTGCTCAAAGATTTGAGCATTTAGACCAACATTGCATTAAAGCCTGGGAACTGTAAGACATTCCTGTCAGGTATTTGCTGAACTTTATTTCTGCTATAAAGCTTTCTTGTTAATCATGATTTAGGGTTTGGGTACAATAGACCTCTTGTTTATCTTTGGAGCTGCCCAACCTCTAAGTCTAACCTACATTCTACATTACATCAATTATTGCATGAGAATATAATCTCGCCATATTAGCAATGAGGTTAATTTTTTTTAAAACTTTGTAACTTATGTGCATGTTATGCTTCTTTTGTAAGTAAAAGATCCTATACTAGGAGTCAGGTGATGCATAACAATTATAATAATATATTGTTACAATAATTATAACAACTAAAGTGTATAAAATTTAACATGTTAAACCTTAAAGGAGAAAAAATATTAAAGTAAGCATTCCCTCTCTGCTGACACATTAAAAATCACATCTCCTTAAATTATGTGATGTAACTTGGTTTGAATTTCCAATTCTTCTTGACACATTTGCGTAGAAGTGCACTTGTCATATTTTGCGAAAAATGTAACATCTCAAATTATTGTTCTGTAATTCAATTAATCTTATACAATTAAAGAACAATAATTTGAAATGTAATTTTAATATTAAAATAATTTTATTTTAATGTTTCGTTTAACATGTAAGTTGACAATTTATTGAATAGATAGTAAAGAGAAGAACAAATATCACTGAGGATTTTTAGGCTTTACTAACAGCTTGACGAAATGCCAAATAGTTCTTTCTGACGAATGACTTCCAGTGAAGAATACCTTTTTGATGTTTGACGCATGTTTTTTCCTCTGAGTGAAAGATATATGTTTCCTCTTAATACATTTCTCCTTTAAGTGTTGAAGTGATTATTTTATTCTCTTGCTGTCTGCATTTCTGAAAATCTGTTTCCTCCCCCCATACCTACCTGCCAACTACATTTAAAAATATTTTGTTTGGAATTGAAGAAGTTACTGGAACAAAAGTGACACACTAAAAATATTAAAATTTTGGATTTAAAAACTTGTTAATAACAGTTTAAAATTAACAGTTATTTATTTTTACAAATCCTTAAGTAAAATTGTTTTTAATTAAAAAAATGATATTTTTCAGACCAATACCTGTAATTGCATTTCAAAAGCCTCATGTTCCTCTTTCACTCAAAACACATTGTTCCACTAAGCTCTTCAATTACTTTACTTAAAATTATTAAAGTATATATATTTAAGGCTTTAGCTCACAAGATTAATTAGTTTAAATTATTAATATCACATGCTTATTATAATTCAACTGATCTCCCATAAACCTTATCCTGCTTGTTTTTTGTTTGGTATTTCTTTCAAAATTCTAGTTTAACCCTTTAGCTAAAGCTTATTCCTAATTTATGGCAACTTTTTTTTTTAACCATGTTGTACATTGATGAACTACTACTAGGCAGGAAAATTTTGTAATGCTTGCTTGCTCATTGAAATTAATTTTAGTAAAAGTGACAACTAACTGGAAGAAAAAGTGTAAAATATTTTGTTCCAACAAACAAATCAAATATTGTTTAACAGACTTCCAAAAGGCCCCCAGACAGCAGCAGCTTCTGTTTACGTATTTTAAATGCAATAGCCGAAATCTTGTTTAAAACTTTGCTTACTTTTAGCTTTCCTGGCTTTCTTTTAAACAGACTGATTGAACTATGCCCAGATATCTCCAAAAGGGCAAAACAAAGGTATGTTTGTTGTATTTTGACGAATAGTACAAATGGGATTCCATTTTTATTCAAAACATGATATTGCAATTGATATGTGTGGCCGAAATCTTATACATTGAATCTTGTTGTAGTGGCCACTTCCTATTGTTATAGATGACCTTAAGTATTTTATAACTTTCTTTTGATAAGCTTTATTTTTTAAATGTGTTGTCTTGTCAAAATTGTATACTTTAAGTTTTGTTGTAGTGGTTTCTTTCTACTGTTATATTTGATGACCTTAAATATTCGATATTTTTCTTTCCTTTTTACTGTTTTGTCATCCCACACGCTGTTTTTATAACAGGATTCAAGTATATCATAGATAGCACATATGTGGAGAATCAAAGTATTAGCTTTTCCCCCCTCTTGAACTGGCTATAGTAGGTGCCTGAATTATGCAATTAAATGTATTTTTCTCTTAAATTTTAAAAATTTTTGGCAAGAGTCCAGGATAAGAGATTAGATATCCGTTTTCTACAGAAAGTCTTAATTTATGACCAGGGAGATAAATATAATTATACAAAATATAATTAAAATGCCATATAATTAAAACGCTAAAACTAAATGATATTTATTAAAAACTTTTTATGCTAAAAATATTTTCATTAATCTGAAATCGTATAACGAATGTTGACTTTAAAAATTTTATATAGATTTAGAAATTTTTCATTTACACTTTGTATTGTTTTAAAAATTATGATCATAATGACAATGTTTTGATTAATATGTTTATTCGGTGTTAAAAGTTATTGGTAAGTTTGGATTATTTATTATTTTAAGTTAGAGCTCTATATGAAGTATTTCTAGGTTCTTCACTTTTTACATTCAGATGTAATTTTCAATGGCTATGATTCACATTTATAAAATATTACTAGTATAGAAATACTTAAATGACTATGTTTAAATAAATTAGAAATACTAAACACTGATTTTTTGAAAATTAAAATATCTTTATTTTTAACCTTTTGGGGTCATATTTTGTTAATACTAAATAAAGGTTGGTGGTGAGCTGTTTAGTGACCATAAAGAGTTGGAGAACATGCAATATTTGTTTAAAAAAAGAAATTTTTTTCAAGTATTTGTATTTGTACATCTAATACAAAGCACTCGTAAAACATATATGCCTAAGAAATATCATTATTTTTTATTTAAATCTGTATTTGATTCTGTTAACTGTTCTTTTAGTGCCAGTAGTTCAAAATCTGGAATATAACGAATTTCACTATGTTGTGGTTCATGAGGATGTATGCTGACAGATATTCCAGCTGGCAAAGCTCTTTGGATTACTTCAAAAAATAATGGAGCACAGTAACAAGGCAGTTCATCAATCTGAATGAAATGAGAGAAAAAATTGTAAATATGTAAAAAAAAAATAATCAGTTTTCACTAAAGTATACAGTCAATATTGCGTACAAAAGATGTTTGAAAAGTTTTTTCAACTACATGATGTCATTCTCTTTATCAAAATACTTTGGACGACCTTATTGGCACTTATTTTTTTTCCAGAAATTTAAAAAACAACATATCAAACAAACCTATAAAATGTAAAGTGAGCAGGCTTGGCATAGGCTTGGAGTTAGATTTTTGAGTATTTTTAACCTTTAATGACATTTCGTAAGTAAAGAGTTTTTATTATCATATCCATGATTACTCTATATTTTAACAACCGGAGAAGATTAAAATTTACCACCTTTAACATCATTAGGAAAAACAAAAAAAAATTTTTTTTAGATAAACAAATTTTATGATTACGTGCAAAACAGTTAGCCTGACGGAAAGGAGATTCTAACCCATGTTCCACCTACCAATGAAGGTATTTTGCGTCAACACTGTGGTCGATGCGAGATGGATGGGTTCGTATTGACCACTAATAGCTATAATTGTGCACCAATTTTGTGAAATCGAAGGTTGAAGCAGAGTTGGCAAAGTTTTCTGAAATTCTTTAGTTTGGAACATTATGCAAACTGGAACAAGATTAAAATAGATTTGGTGTAATTTTACGCAAAATTGAATGAATTTGAATGGTCATCAGTATTTACTAAATTTTTAAATAGAGTATTAAATTCTAACTTAATGAAAAAATCATTTTTTTACTAATTTCAAAAAAATAATTATAATGAAGTTTCACAATGCAGGGTTCTTGGTTGTTCTGATATTTCGGAGTTTTGTGTGTGTACAGAAAACCTCATTTTCTAAGAGTGCCAAATGCATATTTATGCAAGTAGATTTGAATAATCAAAAGATTTGGATTTTCGATCCGATATCTTTTTATTTTAATTGATACTAGTAGAAATTTTAACATTTAATAGTTCCAATTTAAAGAGCGTCTACTGATTTTATAGTATATAGTTCAGGAATTCAGCTTTGGGAAAGTCTTTTAGGGAAAGGAAACCAGATTATCAAGTTTACATCATAAAATTTTCATGATGGTTTCAAAAGTGATATGTTTACTTATTATTTTCAGCAAATACAGAAAAATATCTTGTAGGATGGAGTTTCATAATGATTGATTCGTCTCTTTCGCGTGATTTCAATCAACAATACAGTAATATCAAAAATTTTTAAATTACCTATTCAGAGATTGCCCACTAAAATACCTTTTTACAAAAATGTTTATTAACATTTTAGTTTCAAAATTATCGAAACCCTACTTTACAATTATTTGATTAAGAAAATCTTGATTGCAATTTTTAATTTAATATTGGTATAAGGAAATAAGTGATACTGGTCATTTTTTTTTAATGCAACAGTACTATAAAAGTTTTCTGTGGATTAATTTGGAATTATGAGTTTTTTCAGTATTGATAAAATTATTCTGCCAACTGCTAAGACTTTCAGTGTTAAACAAAGTAATTATAAAATAAAAAATAGTAAATTTCATTATTATTATTAATGTAATTATTTATAGTATATTTTATTGACGGCTGAGTGGTAGCGCTTTGCGTTCCTGTGCCACAGGTTCCGGGTTCGACCATCGGGCCGGGCAAGGTTGACCCAACCTTTCTTCCCTTCAGTGGGTTGATAAATGAGTACAAAGTATGCTTGGGAACTAAACATTGGGGGTTTCGCGTTCAGCTGAGCACCTAAGCGGAACATCTGCTTCTGCACCCCAGAGCCCAAGGTCAAGAAAACTGAGATGGGCACAGTAGTATATTTTAATAAAATTTTATTTTATTTCTCTTAAGTAGAGCAAATTATACTTTTTAATTAGCTATTCACATTTTTAAAAGTATGGCATATGTATCATAGTTGCCAACAATTACCGACTGTCTGTAGTACTTCATTTTTTATCTTTGGAGTGATAATAAATCTTTTAAATTTCTTTTTGATCGTTGGATTTATAAACTTAATTTAATATAATTTTGATTACTACGAAATACAAATAAATCAATTTTACATATAAGAGAAAGTTATAGAAACTAAAATGAGTGTAGGCCAAAGAAATTATGAAACACTGTGAATTGTGATCTACAATTGCATTACAATGAGTGTTTCATTACTGTTTAAATACTTTGGTAATAGTAAAAGTTGGCATGTCTGATGTATAAATTTATTGGCTTACTACGAAACCTGCACAATGTGAACCATGATTAACCAAAGTTACTAAAAATTTTCAAAGTAGGTTAAGCATTGAATATTCATTAATAATGCATCAGAACTCTAGTGACTCGGGTAATAGAGCGTTTGCCTCCCAATGAGGTGAACCGGGTTCGAATCCCAGAGATAGCTGGTCGATACAAATTCCACACTGACCACAATACTGACATAAAATATCCTCAATAGTAGATGGATCATGGGTTAGAGTCCCCTTGTCATTAGGCTATCCGTGGGAGGTTTTCATAGTTTTCCTCTCCGTGTAACGAAATACGGGTTAGTTCCATTAAAAAGTCCTCCATGAAGGCAAATTTCTCCCAATACTTGATTCAGGTGTTCCCTTGTCTTCTGTATTGAGTATAAAATTACAAGGCTATGGAGTTGAACATTGGTAATTCTAAACCCAAAATTAGGTTGGATTTCCCAAACATTGATATTCAACGACAGTTACAAAATTAAAAACAATACATGAACACTGTACATATATGTAATAAAAATAAATATTTAGTACCTGTATATTTCTTTCATAAGTATTAAGTAAAAAATCATGGACAATTTTACTAGAGCCAGGCTCAGTATTGGTTACTTTCCATGCTTGATGTGGAGTAGCCCAACTAATAAGAAATATAAAAAATGTATTACTTAATCAAACTTAAATCAAATCTTAGTAAAATTTTAAGAAATGACGAACACACAACTTTTAAAATTCATTTGAGTATTCTTATAAGTAAATACATATAATTTTTGTATTACTATGGTGAACTCAAATAAAAATAGCTATCAGACATAGAGGTGTTTCAACTATAAACAAAAATAATCATTAGTGCTAATAAAACCAATAGTTTAGTCATTATTATATAGTTGCCAATTTGTATGGTCACCAGGAAAGATTTTTAATATAGCTTAATATTTAGAAGCACTAAATGTATTCAGAACTTTCTAAATATAAAAAGCTATTTTACTAATACTTAAGAGCCTAAGTGCCTAACTAATATACCTTATATACATAGATTTAATTAGATTAGTTATTAAGTTACATCAATTTATTTTTTTAAAAACCTTTATTTAAGTTAATTTTAGTTAAGTAATTGATTTCTTGTTGTAGATAAAACAACTTTAACAAGATTATTAACAAGATTAAACAAGATTATGATTTATAGGTTACAGCATAAATGTTACTACCACTAAAATGTTTCTTAACAACCATTTAAGTTGGCACTTGTGTTATTAATTATGCTCACCGTCTCTTTCAGCAATACTTAAAAATTTGGCAACAAACTTTAAAAAAGTTTATCAAGCACAAATAGAAAATAAAATAATGAGAAATATTGTTTGTTAAACTGTAAAAGAATCTCCCAATAAAAATTCACAATATCAAATTAACATTTTAAAAAATTTCACTTGTTATGAATATAAAGACTTAATAAGTTTCTTAATATTTGAAGAACTGAATGGATGAAGGTCCAAAAGTGACATTTTAGTAAATTAGAGTAAATTATCTTTAATGTTAATACATAAATAGGAAACAAAGATTATGTCTTGCCTTTACTTTTTTTTTCACAGGATTTTTATAGGTAAAATCCATTAATTCCTAAAACTTATTTAATTTGATCCTTTTCAATCTAAAGAAAGAAAATCCAAACAAAAATAACTTCCAGATGAAAACTTTAATTAAATTAGATTTTTAAAGAATATAAAGTAAACATGTGCTTGAACTAGAAATTGGTAAGCATCAATTGTTTCAGTATTGGTTAAAAGTGATACTGACACAAATGATTATCAGTTACAAGTGCCTGCTACATTTTGCATCTATATCAAATACCTATAAATCTTAAATTTAGAACTTAACTAATAAAAAAACTGTGATATTATAATTTACATTTTATTAATTTTTTTAATGAAATCTAGTTTTAATGAAAGACAGTGATTGATTTAAAATTAGATTAAATGAAATTATAAAAATAGAAAATGAATAAAAAAGAAAAAATCTATAGATGCAAAAGCATGTATCACAATTATGAATGATTAATAAATTAAATATAATTCTAAACAAAATATTTTAGTGTATCTTATTCCTGGTAATTAGCTATTAAAAGAATGTGAAGATTTAAATAAAATATTAAAAAAGATATTTAGAAAATTTCAGTAATTTTTTAAAAAGAAATTAACACATAAAATGTTTTGTAGTGTTTGTCAAAATATTTTAAAAATTTTATCTCAAAATAAAGGCAAACGGTAAAAAATATTAATAATTCAATTTTGTAAAAAGTAATTGCATTTATTCTTTAGAGGATATAACAAACTATTGCGGATTTAACAAATGAACCCGAGTAATTCAGTGATGAAACGGTGTTTTAATCATTGTGATCTTACGATTTAAACCACTGAATAATAATAATGCCACCCACCTTCCAAGAAAAAGTGAATGTGTGAAGTTAATAAAAAGTTATTGTAATTAGTTATGTAGTTATTTAAAAGTTGTATAATAAATGTGTGGATATACAATTTAACAGACATGTAATTGCTGGAAGAAAAAATTATCTGAGTTATCTTAAGTTAAGCAATTATCTTAAGTTTGTCTTTTTAATAAAAGACCCATTTTCAAGCACTAAACTAACATTTATAAAATTAAAAAAAAATTTTTTTTACCCAATTAATTATTTTCTCATCAACACATAAAACACCAAGGAGTATACATACTTAAAAGAATTATATATTTCTCCTACTTCGCACTTCCCATTCATCTTAGTAAAGTCGTTACTAAAGTAGTAAAGTTTCTCACTAAAGTAGTTATGTTTTCATTTAATTATTACAAATTTAACATTGAATTAATAAAATCATAGCTCAAGCTCAACATTTTTACGAATTAGAAAAGACAGGGAGGGTGGAATTTGTTAATAGCATAGAGTCTTTGCCAATTAGATAAAATATTACTAAAAAAAATTCTTGTAAGTTACTTTGGGTCTAACAAACCTTTCTTCATTATTGATATACTCTTTAACTACTTATTTTATAATGCTTAAAAGCTTTTGTTAGAATCTAAAAGCTCTTAGCATTTGATAGCAAATAAAAATAAATGGGAATAATTTATATATATTTTTAATGAACAACAAATTATTTTGATACGGTTAACAGGAAATTATTGAAAAATTTTCCGACACCCTTATCCACTTTTAGTCAATCATTTTTTTCTTAGTCTAATAGGAAGCATAAAAATTTACATGTGCCCCACTATCATTATTTCTTTTCAAAAAAAATAAAAAACTTCATTATCAAAGAAATCAGACTTTTAAAATAACAACACCCTAAAAAATAATAATTATGTATATATAAAAAATTAGATTTAAATTAATAATTTTTAAAACATCAATTAATATAAATTATCAGTTACTTTAAAAAAGTCACAATTAATTTAAATCAATGATATTTATTTGAAGAAGAAAAAAGAAATCAAGTGATCAGGAACATTTTGTAAAACCTTTTTCATTGACATGCTTTCATTATCTTCTTAAAAAGTGCATGATACTAATTTTGTCCATTTTGGAGGATTGTTATAGAAACTTTACAATACACAATTACAAAAGCTTAAAACCGACAATTGTAAGCTTAAAGAAATATTTTTAAGCAGAAGCAATAACTAAAAACAGAAGCTGTGAATTAAATAAATAAATATAACAACAATAAAAGAAACAATGAAGTAAAAATAAAATATGCAATTTTCAATAAATATTGACTTGATAAAATAATTATCTTGAAAATTGTAAAAATTTAATATTTTCTCCTTGAATAAAATCAATAGAGCAAAAGGTATAGTTACTTACGCATCAGTTACATTAAAGTCCAAATGCAGAGCAATTCTATGAACATATTTGGCATAATGCTCTAAAACAGTGAAATCATAACCTTTAATTTGAATATTCAGGAGATCATACACAGGAACTTGTGGTTTAGTATACTGTGAAAAAATAATAAATTTAAACGATTTTTTTTTAATATAAAGATAAAATATCAAAACATAAATGCTAAGAATATCTAAAACTATTGCAATATTAAATTCTGTGGAAAAAGAATAATCTGAATAATTAAAGAGAATATTTACTAAATTCAACTTAAAGTAACCAATTCTCTATTGCACTACAAATTCTACATTTTTTATAATAACTACTGTAAGTTAAATTTAACTGCTTCAAATTTGAAGCATTACTGTTTAAAGCAATGGAAAAAAATATAGCTAAATTTTATTTCATATTTTCTGACAATTCTTTTTGTCCTAGAAATTTTGCAAAATATATATTAAAAAAAAATAATAAACATTATCAGACTTGGGTGGTAAGACAGCATAGAAAATGATTTTAAAACTATAAAAGTAATCAATTGAAGCTAGGCCAAGAACAGGACGACGTGGGATAAAATTCTGCGAAATGACGGGTTGTCATGCAAGTGAGGAACAAAGGAAGTATTAAACATATCATATTTTATATGAATTCATAAGTATATGAGCAACTATTTTAATCTTTGAAAAAGTTTCACACTATACCTACTGATTTGAATTGAATTAACAAAGAAAAATAATATTTTTCCCCCCTGTCTTAGAGTGTATAATTTTAGTACAAGCAATAATTTTCTCTAATTGTTATTTTTCAACATAAAAAAATGACTAAAGAGTGAGATTTGACAGGGTGGTAAACAAAGCTTTTGTTAGATAACTGAAAAAACCTATTTATTGAACTTCAAGCATTTAAAAAAATTAAAGATTAAAACCCATGTTTTAAAATAAATTCTGAATTTACATTAAGTCATCAAAAACCTGAGTTAAAAAAATTATGACTAGACTGCAAAAAAAAAAAAATTTCAAATCATAAGAAAAAGTTTAGAAAAATTTTTACATTGAGATAAAAGTTACATTTTGGGAAAGTAACAATTTGAAGGAAAAAATTTTTTGCAAGAAGTTCCATTGTAACATTTTTTTTTTCGCAAAGGTTTTTTTATTATTGATCTTTTACTTGAGTTTAATCCTTAAATACTTCAAAATTAGATTGTTATAGTAAATATTAGTCAAAGCAACAACAAAGGGGAATTATTCTGAATTTCTTATATAAAGCATCTAAGGGTTTAATTAATCATTTACATTTGTGAACAAAGGAGGGGGGAGTACAAAAGGTTGTGCAATTCATACTTATACGAGCAGCCTATAAAGTGTTTATAAAATAAAAATTTAATTTCAGGGGTCTGTCTAGGTTTTTGTGAAAATTTAGACATATTTTGTGAAAAATTATATTAAAAAATCAATACAAAAACATGGTAAAAATATAGATTTATCGTTTCTTAAGGGATACAAAAATAAAATTTTAAGAAAAAGTATTTTGTGAAACTACCGTTTTACCTAAAATTGAATTTGTGAAGGTACCGCTAAACGGTAGAAAAATTCGGCCTGGACAGACCCCTGAATTCTCATGTGATGCTCAGAATCAGAGTTGGAAAAGAAATTTTCTATTCTTCCAATGCACTTAATTTAAGGTACTCTTTTGGAAGCAAGCAAAAAGCCGCCAAAATATGTAGACAAGGAAGATTTCCGTATCATGATCTGTAGCACAGACTACAATTGCCAAGTAGATTTTAAAGTAGCCAATTATTTTTAAAGGAAATATGTAGATATTTGTCCTAGGGTGGCTACGAGTTATACCCTTCCAGTTAGTCCCTTTCTGGGTCACTGCCCAGAAGTTGGCGATTATTCTGCCACAGATTATGAAATAGAAATCTCACCAAGTTAAAATTCCTTGAATCCGGCTAACTGAAAAGTATCAATTTTAATTAATGTATCAAATTTAAATAACGTCTTCATTAGTGTATACATAAAGATATGTTAAATTTTTTACTCTAAAATAAACAAATATTACCTTAATATAATCAGGTTCATCAACATATTTTAACAAACTGTGACTCATTACAAATTGTCGAATCGAAGGTCTTATAGGTTTCAGTAGACATACATGTTTGCATATTTTGAATATGTGATTCTAAAATATAACAAAATAATATTCAAATTATATCAAAGAAAACTAAATAAATAATACAATAATATTGCCAATATTATAAGATGAATAAATACTGATATAAAAAATAACAATTATTTGAATATAAAATAACAGAAGATACCATAGCTATTCTCGAATTTTTTCCAGCACTTTCAACCTGAAAATTTTGTTACATACCCATGCTTACTTGAATAAAATAGAACATAAATAAAACTAAGACGCTATTGAAAACCTTTTCCTAAATGTTTCAAAAGGGGATATTTCCGTATCGTGATCTGTGACGCCAACAAGATTCGCCAAGGCGCGATTCAACTCAAGCGATCCAGGGAGCACATCGAAGAACGTAATTGTCGGCAAGGAAGGGGCGGAGCTTCAGTAGAGAGGCTGAACAAGAGTCTCGTGTCACATGATTCTACTTGAAATTCTGACGTAGCTGCTCAAGCGTCATATATCACGTGACTCTTAACATTACACTTTACGTTTACAATGGATTAAATTTATTTCAATATTTATTTATTCATTTTTCTTAGTAATATTTTCTTTTTAAATCCCTCTTGTAAATAATACATTTAATAATTATATTCAAATAAATTTTTAAATTATTTAGGAAAAATATATTAATAATAATCAAATTAAATAGTCAAATTAAAGATTAAATACAAATAGTTTAATGATGTTCCATTAAATTTTTCAATTTCTTAAAAACAAAAAAATTATAAAATTTTATATATATATATATATATATATATAAAATTTTATAATTTTTTTGTTTTTAAGAAATTGAAAAATTTAATGGAACATCATTAAACTATTTGTATTTAATCTTTAATTTGACTATTTAATTTGATTATTATTAATATATTTTTCCTAAATAATTTAAAAATTTATTTGAATATAATTATTAAATGTATTATTTACAAGAGGGATTTAAAAAGAAAATATTACTAAGAAAAATGAATAAATAAATATTGAAATAAATTTAATCCATTGTAAACGTAAAGTGTAATGTTAAGAGTCACGTGATATATGACGCTTGAGCAGCTACGTCAGAATTTCAAGTAGAAACATGTGACACGAGACTCTTGTTCAGCCTCTCTACTGAAGCTCCGCCCCTTCCTTGCCGACAATTACGTTCTTCGATGTGCTCCCTNCCAACCGTTATTCATTTAGCCGTCCATCTTGAAAACGGTCAGAGCGTATATTTCACGAACGAGACAGCGATTGACCGAGCTATAAATCCACCAAAAACTACACTCACCGAATTTTTTTGAATTGTGTAATCATACGGATACTTTTGGTGCCTTTGCACGGCCATTACTCTAATCAGAAGTACCACACTATTTCATATGGGCTCAAACAAAAAAAATGGACACCCTGCAAGCAAGGCACACCGGTTGATGCATGTCCCAGTTTATTCAAATTAAACGCCTTGGCGAGAGTATTTACAGTCAATCCAAGGCAGACTGAGTGCTTTTATTTTCGACTGTTGTTGGTTAATGTCACCGGCTCATTGTCATTTCAAGATATACGTAAAGTCGATGGACATCAGCATCCAACGTATTAGAGGCATGCCTTGCACTCGGCTTGCTGGAAGACGACAACCAATGGGAATGTATGCTTGCTGAAGCAGTATTGAACTCCACTGCAAAGCAAATTCGTCTACTATTTGTTATAGTATTAACTACATGTTTCCCAGCCCGTATAGAAACGTTATGGGATAATCACAAAGATTCGATGACTGATGATATACGGTATCAACATCGCACACGATAGCTTTCAGCAATGCTATGTACAACGAAGCACTGATTGCTATTGAGGATCTTGGCATTATTATTACCAACTTGCCACTCAGTCATTTCGGTATGCCTTCGCCAAATCTAAGTGCATCTGATTTATTAAACACTGACATGAATCGTGAATTTCAATGCAATACGATAGAAATGGTAACGATTGTTACTCGCAATGTTCCACACATGAATGAGGAACAAAGGAACATTTATGACTGCATTATGCTCGCAGTTTCGGCAGGACAAGGTGGAATTTTTTTTGTTGGATGCACCAAGTGGAAATGGAAAAACATTTATAATTTCTCTAATTCTCGTTGAAATACGATCAAATAATGGCATCGCGTTGGCCGTTGCATCATCTGGAATTGCGGTAACTTTATTGGACGGAGGCAGAACAGCTCATTCAGTATTTAAGCTGCCACTAAATATTCAAAACAACCCAAATGCAGTATGCAACATAAAAACGCAATCGTTTATGGCCACAGTGTTAAAACCCTGTAAAATTATCATCTGGGATGAATGCACAATGGCACACAAACATTCACTTGAAGCGTTGAACAGGACATTGAAAAAGATATAAAAAACAATGACAAATTATTGGACGGCACTCTGTTACTCCTTCAGGTGATTTCAGACAAACACTTCCGCATTCCACGTTCAACGTAAGCTGATGAGATCAATGCTTGCCTGAAATCATCGTCACTGGGGCATATGTTGTTCAACTAAAGGTAAACTAAAGTTCAACTAAAAGTAAATATGCGCGTCCAAATGCTTCTAGATCTATCGGCTGAAACATTCTCAAATCAATTGTTAGATATCGGTGATGGAAAAGTTACTAAGGATGAGACTGGATGCATAAAATTACCGGACGATTTTTGCGCAATCATTGATTCACAAGATGCTCTCATTAACCTAATATTTCCCGATGTACACACACAATACATTCATCATGTCATGAGTGGCTGGAAGAAAGGGCGATTTTAGCAGCAAAAAATATGTGGGCGTCAACGAATTGGTGACAAATAAATCCGTTGATGCAGTTTGCGATCCCATAGAAGCTGCAAATTTTTCAACAGAGTTTTTAAACTCATTGGATTTACCTGGCATACCACCGCATAATTTAGTACTCAAAGTTGGATCTCCGGTTATTTTACTTCGTAATTTGAACCCACCACGGCGGTGCAACGGCACGCGATTAGTCGTTAAAAAATTAATGAACAACGTTATCGAAGTCATTATTTTAAATGACAAATTCCGGGGTGAAAGTATATTACTTCCACGAATCCCTATTATACTCACAGATTTGCCAATTCAATTTAAAAGCATTCAGTTCCCCTTTAGATTGGCATTTGCAATGACAAGGCCAAACAATGTCTGTTTGTGTCTTAGATTTGAGCACACCATGTTTTTCACGCCGACAATTATACGTGGCATGCTCTCGAGTGGGTAAACAATCATCATTCTACGATATCGTGAGCTTTGTCAACAATTCATGGTCGACATGTACGTGAAGATAGAGAGTGAACGACTACGATACTTGCGATATAATCAACAACAGCTGCGTGCTGAAGAATACATTCACTTGCGAGACGCTATTGTCAGCAGCGCCGATGCCGCCGAAATTGGTAACTCGGTCATTCTACCATCATCGTATATAGGCAGTCCACGTCATATGCAAGAATATATCCAGGATGCTCTGGCTTACGTGCGCGAGTACGGACGACCGTGTTTGTTTATCACGTTCACGTGTAATCCTAAATGGCCAGAGATTACATCATTGCTTTTTCCCGGCCAAAATGCAATACATCGTCATGACATTACAGCACGTGTATTCAGACAAAAGTTAAAGTCTTTAATAAGTTTCATTACGAAATTACAAG